GCAAGAGACAGGGTGAGTTAAAGTTTAACTCCCAGGAATTGTAAACCAAACCTAAAGCCACTGAACCTTTGGAGTTTGATATGATGATTAGAGCATAACTCGAGTGACACGTTGAATTCGCCATAATCAAGGAAACCTTTTCCGGGTGGGGATCTCTGAAATTACTCAGGTATGATCCATGTGTTTTGCTTTTTCTATTTCAACTCTGTGAAACTGTGCATTGTGGTATCAGTGTAAATGCAGTGGAAACAGCTTTTATCCTCTTCTATTACCGAGCCTAATCCAGGGAATTGTCTGGTTTGTTTTCATACTGATGAAATAATCTAAAAATAAAAGAATATATTGGAATGATCATATAATCTCAAAATGAGGTGGCCTCCATGATTTAATAAATGCCTACAGACTAACCCCTGTGGGTTCAAGAGTAGGGCTAATGTTCTGAAAAGTTTATTGAGTTCTAGCCAGACAGCAGGGAGAGTTGTGGTTGACTGCCTGTCCGAGTCCTAGGACCCTGGGAAACAAAACTGCAATAGGAATGAGAAATAGTATTAATATCATTGGCAGATTTTGAGTTCTCTGCATGGATAATTCTTATCCTACTTTAAATTTCATATATTTAATTATCTCCTGTTCTATCACCACCATTAAAAAAAAAATCTTCGTAAATTCTTGCTATTTCCTCTGCCATTATCCTGCTAACCAAAGAAATGCCCTAAGCTATTATCTTTTGCTCTAGCAAAAAAGAAAACAATAACAGGGAAAATGACTGGCTTTGAGTGTGTTAAATCTCAACCTTGGAATAGCTAATTATTAGATTGCTTCCACAGTTTGAGCAACTGTGCTGCAGTGGATATATTTTCATATTATCATTTTGTTTGCTCCCAAAAGAATATTCACAACCAGGATATAATGGTATTTTATCTAAAGAAAGAAATCAATCTGGGCATTCATCAGGAATATCCCATTCCTACCAGAAATCTCCTAAACTCTTTGACTTTTTGTTATGATTATCAAAGTAAGTTCCAAGGAGAAGGAGTTCCAAGTTAAACAAGTTTCTTTACTGCAGGACTTTTCAAATGTATATTGTGCATCTCCAAAAATATGAAGGACACAGCATTATTTGTGCATTGTGCAGGATTAGTGTTTTATAAAACATGTACTGATAAACTCAGCTCTATTTATAATTTAGGAGCATCAAAAACGTGTTGATTTGGTCTGAAACAGTCTTTGTAATGTGTGCTGAGGAGCATGCAATGGGGTCTGCAAATAAAAGTGAAATCACTTATTTGTCAAAGCGATGAGGCTTTGTCCTGCTAAATACAGAGAGAGAGATGAATGACTCATAAGGGTCATTCATAAGGGACATATTTTCTGGAAAAACATTGCCCATTTTAGACAATTCTTACATTTCACTGTTCCAACTTACTGTGTATCAAATATAAGGGAAGAAAGAAGATAATTGGCAAGGAAAAGAAATGTTATGAGCAAAAAATATAAAATGGCATAACGGATATGAAAACACTGAATACTTAGTTATTATTTTCAACTGGGCTGATACCAAGGTGCTTTTGTGTCACTCATTTCAAATATCAGCATTTCCTACACTGCTACACTGTATTCAGTGGATGTTAACAAATATGGCTCAAAAAAAAAAAGGGACTCTATTATCAAGTTGAGGAAATGGTATTACAAAAGTTAAGGCGGTTCTTGTTAACACATGAGTGTTTTGAGTAATAATAACAGACATTTATGACACACTATATTGTTAAGTGTACTTCTAAGCACGTTCTGTGCATTTATCTCATGTTATTCTTAGAACAACCTATATGAGGTAGATACCCTTATAGCATTTTATAAAGGAGAAAATTGAGGCACAGACAAGTTACCTAACAGGCTCCACATTACTCAGCAAGTGGCAGAGCCAGGTTCCCCAGGCAGGTGGTGTGACTCCGGAGCCCAAGCATGTAATCATTACATTGCACTCACAGGTACTGAGGACTTACCATGTGTGCAAATAGTTTAACTCACTGTGAATATCTAAGAGAGCAGGCAATGTTTTGTTCCCTAAGCTTAATTTACAACAGAACATCTTCTTTCAGGAACATCTATTAATATCTCTTAAAATTGGTATTCCTCAAAGCACAGATTAAGAAAGAACAAATCATTTTTCTAGCCCACGTCCAGCATTCATAACAACTAAAATCTATTGAGATAATCACTGTTAAAATCATCACAATTGAAAAATCGAAGAGACCTTATTATAGTCTCATGATGACCATCAACTATGACTACACCTGTATTAGAGACTTTTAAAATGAATTATAGAAAGAACACTGGGCATTTCTCCTGGACAGAGCTAGGTTGGGATGGCTATTCCAAAACTGCCCAGGTTTGTGACCTTGGCAATGTTGTTTGACTTCCCTGAATCTCAGATTTCTCAAATGTGAAATGGGTGTAAAATCTGACCCACAGAATTTTGTGAAGATTAAATGAGATGATAAAGCAAAATAGTTAAGCACATTCCCTGGTGCTTAGGAATTCAGCAAAAATTGTCTTCCCTTTCCATTTTCCTATTTGTAACAAACTCCAGGAAAATCTTCTAAAACTGTCCAAATTTACCCATTAGCTCCTCTTTGTCAAAAGAATACTAATGAAGTTTGAATTGAAAACTATTCATAAATAATGAAATTTTAATTAATCACAAATAGTAACCCTATTCCACTTATTCAAAGAAAGACAACCTATAATTGTTTTTTAGTATTAAAAGACACATAGAATATACTTTTATTTTAGAGAGCATTGTTTAAGAAAACTCTAAATTATAAAAGCCCAACACCCTTTGCACTCAAACCCATGGAATGACCTGACACAGTGTATGTTCATTTTATTACAAGTGAGTTGATGTTGAAAATCTAATTCAGTAACTGTCTTTTAAAATGTTACCAGCCTTTAGAAAGCTGGGTAGTACTGTGGGTACTATTGCACAATGGGTTTCATTACATTATGTGTCTCTAAATGACTCAATAAGTTCAAACAAGACAGTATTGATCGACAGAGGATAAACACCATTTTATCTTATTCACAGAAACAGTAACCAGGCACCTCTAAAGTGCAGCTCTAACAGTCCAAACTCCCCCCACAGGAAAAGCATCTGGAAAAAGAGCAGCACTCTTGCAGTGACATCCTATGTTAGAAATCTAAATCCCATCGGCTTCTTGACCTGATACTATAAAATCCAGGCAGTTATTATTAACAAATGTTTACTGCCAGTTAGATCAGGGAAGCTAATTTATCATTTTATTCCATCAAACCTATTTCAGCTAGGTTATCAGCTTTAAAAACTATTTTGAATTCTTAACTTAATAAACTAAAATTTTGTGTTGAATTTTTTGATTGATATGAACCAAAAATTAAAATATTTCCTTTTGTAAGAAATGGTTATCTTGACTAAAATATGCAGCATATCTTGAGCTCTCTAATTTTTTTTTAAAGATATGTAAGCTAAGCTTTTGTTCCCCTATGCAGATATATAGGAGGGATTTTATGCATTTAGATATTAACAATCACATGGAGAACATTTACCAGGTTTGTTTATTACACTAGGGGTTGGTCCCTGGTAATATTAAGAGAGAAATAGTAATAAGAATATAAGATAACTCCCTGCAGTTTGCACAGTCATGTGCAGTGTTCTGCTCCAGCCATAATATGACTAAAGAGAATTAGCAGACGACAGTTTGGCCAGACAGAATGTCTTGAGTGAGCAAATAGGTTTGTAATTCTATAAAATCCCACCTGCAATGATGTAGTAATGTCTTCCCTTCCTCCAGCAATTAAAAAATAATCATTGTTTTGGGATGCCTAGTGGATTTAATGAACACTAGATATAAGCAGTAGAATTAACTACTATAGTACCTTATTTCCATAGAATATTCTAGTTTATAAAAGCATTGCATACAGAAGAATTTATACAGATTTTTTTTAAATGCCCAATTTTCTCATAGCCAATTCAGTATGCTTAGTTTCTTCATGGTGACTGAGTCATTTACTTATCATTCCAATTGTACAAAGCTAGTTAATGGAAAGATGCTCCCACCTAAAATTCATAAGCCCAACTCTGTTTATGTAGCACAGTGTGCTGATTTGGTAATGGGCTTTCAACAACTCTACTGGACATGAACTAATTTATTGATTACTTAAGAGGCTAGGTGAAACAGTGAAGAGAGGACATAAGGGTCCACCTGGAAGGTGAGAAGAAAACCAACCCCATACAAGTCCCAGAAGAAAACAGCCCTAAAAAGATTTAATTATAAATCAGTCCAGATGCTGTAATTAACACAGTGAAAGAAGCGAAGGAATGGAGGATTATAAAATCTCCTATCGAACTGCCAGGGGACTGGCAAAGCTTTATGTACAAATGCAATCTTTTTTTATTTCTAGTAATTTTAGATTCTTCTATCTAGCTCTTTTATTGGGATTCTGTTTAGTGCTTATCTTTTCAGCTGGGGCCTCCAGCACAAGGTAAATTGGCTTATTAGATGCACTGAAACGCTAAGGCCTCTAATGATTTGCGGTGGAAGTCAGTAAGCAAAATCTGATGCCATGGTGGGTGGGGGGAACTGTGTTGACACTTACAGATGCCCATCTCAAAAATCTTCTTTCTAATCCTTTTTTTTTTTTTTAAGAGCCCTAACAGTGCCTTATGATTCGGGCAGCACTTACTATCAACCAATTAGAACTGGCACCCTATGATGATAATGATGATGATGATGACAACAGCTCTTAATCCCCATACAGATCCTGTCACATGCCAGGCACATAGATTAACTCGTTTAACCCTCCATGACCCTATGGAATAGGTCATCGCTATGCCATTTAAAGCAGCTAAGGCTTAGGGTCATGGAGAACTTGCCCAGGCTCTTATGGACATGCCTAAGAACTCATGGACATGGAGAAACTTCCCGAAAGTCACACAGGTAGTAAGTGCTGGAAGAAGGAGTGAATCCCAGCAGTCTGGCACACACCACCCTGCAAACAGAGGACAAATTAATCACTGAGAAAGCACTGATGCTTAGAACTAGAAGGAAACCTTGAGATCCTTTATTTGACATAGAAAAGTTACATGAGTTTCCCAAAGATAGAAGACTCTTTTTTGTTAGAGAACCCAAGTAC